CATCTCATGCAAAAGCTTCTGCTCAAGATTCTAATTGGCTGTCTAATTCCTTGGGAAGGAAGTTCTAATCAAATTTCTTGAGATCACAAGATTTTTCTTTGGTATCTGTCAACTGATCAAAGATTAAATCTTCTAAGTTATATATTCCATCATTTGTATGAATCCATCAAGGATTCAACTAAGAAGCTCAAAAGAATAATACCTTGTGCAAGGATACTTTCTGAACTCTCCTACCAATGTAAATTAATCAATATATTGATTGATTATGGAGCTACTCAAGACTTGGATGATGCCTATGGAAGTGTGTTATCTGCATCAGTTCTAGCTCATATGAAAGAAAGAAGGAAAAATATATGTTGTTGTGATTCCTAATCCTACCAGAATCAGGAAAGAAAAGAAAAGAAAGTTTCTAGATCACTTTCTTATACTGACCAAGGAAGACTCTTCTGTAGTAATCAGAATTCTTATTGAAAAGGCTAAGATGGAGTGTGGTGTGACTATAACCCATTATCAACTCCCTGACAAGGCTCAAAGTGAGTATGGGTCTAAAAGAAAAGGAAAGAAGATGGTAATCACTTATGATGAATCTGATACTTTTGCGCTTGTTAGAAAGAAATTGTTAGGAGATGCTCAAAAGGTTGTTCAGAAGGAAGAAGAAAGACTTGCTCACAAGTCTGGAAAGAAATGGGATTTTCATAGCTCCAAGGCGAGTCTACAACATGAAGTTAAAGAGCTCAGAGAATCCGCTGAGATTCTTTCCGCTAAAACTAGAGGAGGATCTGACATTAATCTGGATAAAGAAATTTTTGTTTCTAAGAAAATAAAATTATCAAAACTAAGTTAAATAAAAGTGAAGGATGCGAAAATGGCTCAGGTTTTGAAAGAAGTTGACAATTTTTTCTCTTCTGTTATATGTGAAACCATTTATGCAGGGCGATGTGGACAAAATATTGAAATTATGCATTTTTTTGAAGTTCTGGACTAATACCAAAAATTTTAGAGATTCTAAAATTTTCAAAATATTTCTCCAATTTACGGAACTATAATACATTTGGTATATCACGTATCGAAAATTTCAACATTTCCAATATTAATTTTTAGAAATTCTAAAATTTCCAGTCAAATGCAAACCTATCCAAGGTAATTATAGCGAAATTTTCAATATATTAGTGAAATTTCTAATTTTCATCCAAAAATTTTATATTTTCAAAAACTTTTAAAAAAAACTAATATAAAATTTTGCCACAAATAAAAAGTGCCAGATATAAATGGGGTGAAGGTAAAATTCTCCGATTTTAGAGATAAAAATCTCTTATTGTGAATTGTGATGAATATAAAATGATTATATCTCTGCGGAAAAAAGTTATTTTGAATTGAGAGCATATCCAACAGATGATGATTTCTATCGACCACTTTATATATATCATATCATCTAAATCATCTCCCAACCTTGCTCCTAATTCCCAATATCACTTTGTATTATTACATGTCATCATTTTTTCAACTTTTCTATTAGTTTATAATTTCTTTTTGAATCATCATTAGTTGAGAATTAGTCGAATGACTCATGCAGTGTATCCTTAACAGCTGCAAGAGATATGTAAAGAGCAATATACAAAAGAATAGCGGACCATAGTCAGGTTTCTACATATTCACACCTTCAAGATATTAAAAATTGTCCATTAAGATTAAATAATTGAGATTTAAATTTAATATTTAAATTATAAAACTAAAATCTATCGGATTTAATTGCAACTTTAATCACTCTATTTCTTATTTTTTAAAAATTTTGATCCCTCGTTTTAAAAAACTATTATTTAGGTTTATATTTTATGTTTTGAGTTTGATTTTAGTCTCCTCTCTATTTTAAGATCTATTTTTAATGATGTGACACTTTTTAAATGACGTGACAATGTCATGTCATTTTAAAATTTATCCTCTTCACCAAATATAGTTTCACATATATTTGTCAATTTAAGAGTAAATTATTTATTTAAGTTTCACATTAATTTTAATTATCTATTAAGTTTCAATTATTTATTAAAAATCACTTCAATCAAAAACGTTTTCAGCCATTCACTTCTTCTATCATAGTTACGAACGAAGACATGAACTCTCTTTCCCTCTCATTTGCAAACATGAACCTAAGTGAATAATCTGAAATTATCATTCTAAATCAAGTTGTTTTGTGAGGCCGTCCTTCCAAATCAACTTGCATGGTCGCTTTAGGTAGTTCATCTCTGAAATGGCAAACCCAAGTTATGTTTTGAGGTATGTTTCGTCACTCAACTCTGAACTGAAAAACACAACTCATCGTTGAACTGAAAACCCAACTCGTAGATGTCGTTTATATTCTAGATTATATTATGTTGTTCTGAAATATGATTTTGTTTAGGGTTGTTAAATGCGTTAATGTTGTGCCTTGATGAAATACTATGTTGTGCCTTGATTCTGAACATTTATTAACCCAAGAATGTTAATGTGTTGTGGTCTTGTTTACGCTGAAAAGTGGTAAACAAGCGCTGGTCTCCAATTTAAGGATTACTTGTAGGATCAACCAGTGAATCCTAGGACATAGTGCCAAATAACCTTTTCGTTATGAGATTTCTTATGTTTTTAGGGTAAATGCTTTGGAATTGGTCGAAACGTAATTCTTAGTAAAATGTAAGAAGACTTTGACTACCTAAGAAGTGCCTAAACGAAGCAAACAAAAACTGGAAATGCTGAATGAAAAATGGTTTGAAAAGAAATAGAAGTAAAGAATTCAAATCAAATGTAAATTGAACGAAACTAGAAACTTTGCATTAAAAGTAGAGTATGATGGTTCATTTTCTCTTATATTCTCTCAGCCATTCGCTTGTTTCTCTTAATGCTGATACTTTGAGTTTTCAGTGATATTTTTGTAACACAATGAATCCCCATAATTCAACATAATGAACTCCTATATATACAAGTATAAAATAACTACCCAAATGTTATTATTCCCTGAGTTAGCCACGTGAAGCTCTGCATGCAATCTATCTTTAGACTTCCTCCACGTGTCTCTTCAGAAAGGAAAACTCAAGTAGTTACCAATATTTGAGCGCGATATGACACGCCCAAATAACCTCTCCTCGATCAACCTGTCGCCGTGGTAGGACCTACATGGTCAAGGTATATTTGTGTTGGAATATTTCTTGCAACATCCAAAATTTCTCTAAGTCCAAGATTGTTATCAAACGAAAAGCTTCCATTCTTTGCTCTTGTTTGTTGGGGTTTTCTCTTAGTCAAAAATCCTGGCTAACAGGTCCATGTAGTGTTAATTTGTTTTGGTCCCTGTTTTGTCAGTGTTATGATTTGTTTATGTCCTGAACTATTAATGTGTTGTGTGACATGTAGTGTTAATCTGTTGTGGTCCCTATTTTATTAGTGTTGTGATTTGTGTAGATGAAGAAGTTAATGTTAAGGGAGTAAATAAAGAGGTTAATGTTGATGGAGTAGATGAAGAGGTTAATGTTGATGGAGTATATGAAGAGGTTAATATTGATGGAGAAGATGAAGAGAGTGAAACAAATCCAGATTATAACATGAGCCGTGAGGAGGACGAGGAAGAGGAGGAAGATTTGGAAGATGAAATTGATGAGATGAATTTAAGTGTTGATGTTGTTAATAATGATAGTGATTTATATGTGCTTTTACTCCACCCGATAGTGATGTTGAAGCTGATATGGAAAAGTTTCCAACCTTTAAGGAAACCATAAAACTGGAAGTAAGGATGATGTTCAAGGATAAAATGCAAACCAAAGATGCCATAAAGGAGTATGGAATGGAGAACATGAAGAATCTTGTGTTCAAGAAAAATGACAAGAAGAGAATGGTTGTTAAATGTATATATGGTTGTCCATTTTATATTAGGTTTAGCATGAGGACTACCAACCGATATTGGAAACTCATTAGCTTAACTGATTGACATAGTTGTCATAGGACAGCAAAGAAAAGACAAGCAAAAATGGATTGGTTGGCTCGCAAATTTTTGTATATTATAAGACACACTCCTGAAATGTAAACTAAATGGCTTATTGAAAAAACTATTAAGAAATGTGAGTGAAATTGTCAAATGATCAAGCTTATAAAGCCAAGAAAAAAGCAATATAATTGATTCAAGGTGTTGGTCGTGAACAATTCAAACATCTTAGGGTTATGCTGAGGAGTTGTTAAAGTCAAATTCAAACTCTACTGTTAAAATTAAGTGTGATGATTCAGATGGTGGTCATGTTTTTGAAAGAATATATGTGTGATCAAAAGCTTGTAACACAGCGTTTGCAACCACTTGTTTGCCTCTAATTGGACTGTATGTTTATTTTCTGAAAGGGGACTTTGGAGGTCAGTTAATAGGTGTTGTTAGTAAGGATGGAAATAACAAGATTTATCAAATTGTTTATGCTGTCGTGGAAGTTGAAACAAAAGAATCTTGGCAATAGTTCCTTTAGTTATTACTCAAAGACTTACAATCCATTCAACACAAGGAATACAGATTTATATTAGATCGACAAAAGGTTAGTTTTATCACTATGTTATGTATTTTACCTGCTATGTTAACTATGTTGGATTTCTATATTATGTTGGACTGCTATATTATGTTGGACTACTATGTTATGTTCAGGGCTGGTATTTTAATTATGTTGGACTACTATATTATGTTGGACTACTATGTTATGTTCAAGACTGTTACTTTAACTATGTTGGACTGCTATTGTAATTATGTTGGACTGTTATATTATGTTCAGGGCTGTAATGTTAAATGTTCAGGGATGTTATATTAAATTTTCAGGATTGTTATGTCTTTAACCATGTTATGTTCAAGGCTGTTATGTTAAATGTTCAGGGTTGTTATGTCTTTGAATATGTTATGTGTTCAGGGTTTGGTACCGACTATTCTTGAGACAAGCCAACATGTTAAACACAGATTATATGTTAAACATTTGTATGGCAATTAGAGGAAGAAATAGTCTGGGATATTGATGAAGGAAGCTTTATGGAGGGCAGCTAGGGCCACAACATTACCTAGATGGGAAAGAGAAATGAATCATATGAAAGATCTCAATATCAATGCTTGGAAAGACATGATGTATGTACCTGCTACATGTTGGATTCGGTCTCACTTGAAGACAGATACACCATGCAATTTGCAAGTCAACAATATGTGTGATGCTTTTGATCATGCAATCTTGGAGTATATAGACAAGCCAATCATTTCACTGCTTGAAGGAATCAAACATTATATAATAGTGAGAATTTTTGCTCAAAAGGAGAAATTAAGTAGGTACAAAGGTATTACAAGTCCTAACATCCAACAAGTCTTACAAAAAACAAAGAGGCCAGCAGAAGGATGGATTGTAACATGGCATTCTGATGATGACTTTGCTATATTTGGGGTATCAAACGGTGTTGATACATATGCTATTAACTTTTTGCAAAGAAAATATGGATGTAGGAAGTGGGATTTAGGTGGAATACCATGTTGTCATGATAAACACACTGCCTAGAATTCTTCAAATTGTCAAATGTGAGAAATAAGGGAATTTTGGCCATAAAAAGCAAACGTGTAAAGGGAAGCAAGCTGTGGAGAGAGTGGTTCCTAAAGGTGGAAATAAAAAGGAGAAAAAAGGGTGACAAGTCGGTCAAAGAGGCAGGACAAACGGTTATAGATGGAGGGTCGCAAACATCGTTGTAGCACCCCAAAATTTGCTCTTTCGTTTTAACCGTAACTAGCTTATGTTTTGTTCATTTTCCTTTATGTATTTTTGCATATCATGGCATTGGCTTTTGAGACATGGGATCAAGGTGTTTATGTGGCTCGAGGTTTTCTTTTATTGCAATTTTGTAAGCAGCAAGCATCAGAGGCTCCAACATTTGTTTTGCCCAGCAATCGAGCACCCAATTTTATTTTTCGACAAGTTATTTCAAGCGCACAAGACAGTTTGCAGGTTATTTCAGGTATTTTACACGTGCAATGTCAAAAAACAAGTTTTAGAGACTTAACGTGGCTCAGAATAGGTGGCAACAGACTATTATCCAAGTTTTCCTCCACGTGGCGCCACAAATTTGAAATTTTGAATGTGGTAGTCAGTTACCATTATTGGGGTAATTGATTACCTTAAGCAAAATTTGCAAAGATGCTTCAAATTTCAGCATTGTAGAATTTCCAATAATTCTCACTGTAGATGTTCTTGATTGGCTGCATTTTATGGTAAAACATTGTTGTGTGTAGATGTCTTGAATGATGTCATGACATTCGTGTGTGGTGTACTACAGGGTAAGTTTGGTTAGCTAGAATAAAGTGTATTGGATGTCATGCTGGATGTTATGACATCAGGTAGCAACCAGCAAGGACGCGTGTTTGTTTTTCTGGTATAATGCATGAGTTAGCTCAGGCTAGATTTCAAGAAACATTATAGGGTTTTCTTGTTTTCTCAGGTGAAATGCTAGGGAATGCTGAGCATAACATGAAATGCCTATGACCTAATTGAAAGAACCCTGAATTATGGAAAAGGGTTTAACTTGGTTAAACCTAATTTCTGCCACTTAGGCTCAAGGTCCATGCGCTGCATATAAATAAAGAAGAGGCAATCCTGATGGATAGACTTAGAGATTGTGAGTGAAGAATTCTGTTTGTGTAACTTGTTTTTCACGTGGGTGTTTGTGTCTTAGGATTTCTTGTGAGCCAAGCAATTATCACCTAGATGATTTCATTGGACTAGTGTGTTTTGAGTTGTACTTTGACTGTGTCACTCTAAGCTTTTAAGCACGAGTGTTGTGTCTCTTGATTAAAGCTGTGAAGCAAGATCAAGATTTGTTTGAAGTGTGTCTTCTTTTTAATCTGTAACTTAATTGCTTGATATCACTACTGTGATTGAGGGGGTGTGAGTAGGTGTTGCACCCTAATTTCTGACCGTAAGTTGCCACCTCTTTTTGCGCTTTTTCTATTTTTATTTAATTTTATTTTAATATTTATGTAACTAACCAATTTATGCAGACGCAGTAATATCGGGTGGAGATAGCGTTAATTCTCTCGATCAATCATCCACATTACTAACTATCTTAACCGTTTTGTTTGTTTTGCTTTGTGAGTACTTTTTTTTATCACTAACGACTTGGTGCAGGTGCATATAATCTGAAGATGAAAGCGTCAGTTCTCTCAGTCAACAGTAAGTGACAGTGTCTGAAAAGTCCGGTTAAGACCACGAGCTGTATTCAAAAAAATTTCCCAGGATCAACTCCTCTAGCAAATGCCATTTCTCAAGAATATGATTCAAGGCCTTAGGGCGCTTTCAAGACCTTTCAAGTTTACTTCAAGGTTTCATTCCAAGATGTTTTTGTGCTTTAAATTCTTGGTGCTCAAGTTATCCTTTCAAATTGGTTTGGGCCTTGGTTCTCGTTGCCTCAAACTTTATTCCAAGATGGTGTTTTGATGCATCATTAATTTGGGCCATGTTTTCAAAGTGATTCTGGTTTGAGCACGTCATATTCAGGTGACGACGATAGATACTACTAACAAATGTGCTATGTGGGGACCTTCACTTGATTGGAAGACATTGTATTAAAGTTTGAGTCAATATGAAGATCCTTATTTTATTTGAATTCAAAACGGCATGTACAGAGAAGTTCAAGGTTCAAGCCTTCCTGTGCTAAACCTCAAACAATCCAGCACATACAAAAACTAATAATCCACTGTCAATATAACTATGAATACATAATCCTAGGACTGCGCCGATGATAAAAAGAAAACTGAAGCAGGACCACTGCCCGATGGAATGGTTATAGCAGACGATCCAAATGTGCAAAGTTGTAACGGATCTGCACAGCAGCTTGGTTGCCAACAACTCGCTTCCGCAATGGTAACATAGTTAGCCGTCAACGCAAAGAAAACCAACGCCAGCTTGCTCATGTTGTATCGTCGTTGTTCACTCACTGCAGAATGTTGTGAACATTAGAATCAGAGAGAATTCCACAAGTGACAAAACCGAGACTCCCTTTCGACCTGTCAAAACACAACCATTAGTCAAAGGCCGTCGAAAGTAAAAGTGAAATTCAAGAAGAAGAGATTTAAGACTAGCCCTCAGTTCAATTCATCATCGGGCATGAGACTCGAGCGGCCGGGAGGACTATGACCGTAGCCATTATCAACTCTCTACCGAACATCGAAAAATCGAATTAAGGCAACCATTTTCGGAACACTTCCCAACATGATTCGAAGACACAATTGACATAGGCTCAGACACACGTAGTGTCATCATCACCATCTCAAACACCCTGAAAGAAGAAGAGGAAAGGTCAGTTGGCAACCAAAAGCATATCAGCAGGCAAGCTTTCACAAGCAAGCAACAACTTTCACCGGCAAGGTAGCAGCTAGCATTTGCACACATCAGCACGACAAATATCTTAACACAGTTCACAGCAGGATTTTCTTCACATCAGCATCACCAGGACTCTAATCTTCACCATAAACATCCTTCAACCACCAATCACCTGCATCAAGCATACACGGGTTAAAATGTAGATAGCAGCGGTATTGAATAAAGAGAACAATTTTTGACGTCAGATTTTTATATTACACAATACATTATGCAAATTGTAAAAGTTCAGAAGTCATCTAGCAGAGGGTAAGAAGAACAAGTACAGGTTGCAACTCGCAGATACACCAAACAAGGTCAATAGACATATGGCCATCCTATTTTACTCATAAAACTATTTCTTACCTAGAGTTGCGTAGTGAAACGAGGAGGTAATGGAACTTCATGTTATATCACAAGCATACTCTATCCTTCTAGTCAACCGGCATTCAAACGAGCTACGTGGGAATGAATTTGAATACACCTCTGTTATGTGTGCTGCCTCAATTCACAACTATTGCAAGAAGGTCTCAGCTCCACTCAAGAGGATTTTTGATCATGCTTCCTGCCATGGCACTAAAAGCACTCAGAATCGAGTTGCCATACTTACAAATGGAAGAAACTCTAACATTAAGGATATTGATAGTGAATATAAGCCAAACCTGCTAAACCAAGGAGGAGAAGGTTACTAGCCAATCAGAGCAGCATACAACCATCTCTCATGATCCCTACTTCAGACAACCACTGCTTTAAAACATACCTTAACTGCGGCCCATGCAATATTCCAAAGCCAGAATGAAGGGGGTCGCCAGAGCAAAAGAAATTCTTGATACTGTGATGTTTGTTTTCATCAAGACTATAGTTGAAGATGATGATAAGGAAGTGATTGCTCAAGCTTTCACTAACGTGGCTGAAATCATTAGAGATTATGGTTATGCAACTCTTGAACCATACTTACCCAAGCTCGTATGTGCAACTTCGTTACTACTTCAAGAACAACCTACCTGTCAGCAGATAGAGTTCGACAGTGGAATTGACCACGATGATAGTTCACATGATGAGGTTCTTATGGATGAAGTTACTTATCTGGCCCTGCCAGATTGCAAATACCGAGTTAGTAATTCATTATGGAGTATATCTGTTTGAAAAAGATCCAACTCAATGACAGCTAGCAAATTTTCATAACTTTGAATCTAGACATCCAAGCATTAAACGTGAGATTTTCTCATTAACAGGCAGTTACGAAATCAGACAGAAAAAGGGAAAGATTTCAAATTTTGTCTAAACAAAAACGGAAGGTCCTATTATTACATTCAAGGCATTCAATTCGAGTTTTAAGTAAGAAATTGTGGTTTGAAGCCTATAAAAAGGATCGATAGAAACACACAAAGGGGGACACAAAACCTACCACTGCAAAACCTAACTTTCGTAACAGAGGAATCGAGAAGAAAGACTTATCTGCGAAGCCGCCGCGAGCCCTCAATCGACGGATTCACCGCAAATCTACTACCGCATCCGTGCCCCAACTATCACCGGAGATCACCTATTTCCGTCACCGACAACCATCCTCGACGAGACTGACGAACCTACACAATCGACGCCGGCCATAACTCGCGGTAATCTCTCTGTTTGAGTCAAATCTGTTGAAACTTTTGATGTGTTTGTCTGTTTTTCAGGTCTGAACGCGAAGAGATGAAAGAAGAAGGTAGATGATCGAAGAAAGAGAGACGCGATCGAGAAGATTGAGAGAGACGAGCGGAAACGGCGACGTCGAGGGAGAAGGGGAAACCGATTTAGGGTTCATCGCGTTTTTTTTCTTTCTTTCATTGTTTTATTTTGTTTATTTGTAATCTGCCAATTACCACACACACATCACCACATAATCACACCTTAATCTCCCGTTAACCCTAATTAACTATAACATAATTATTAATTCCTTTATTTAAATAATTATCCAATTAATTAATCAATTTCTAACCAATTCTATGATTTTAATTTATAATCAACTTTTAATTTAATTTAACTAATAACTTTTAAATTAACCTCTTAATGAATTAAGTTTTTAAACTAATTAATCCATTAACTCTTTAGATCCTTTTATTTAAAATGGACTTATTTTTTTTTTATAAATAGTTTATATCTTTACTCATTAA